CGGCATGAGCTCCGTAGACTGTAACATCCCTCACTACCAGTTAAGATACAGCAAAACATCTAATATCATTTATCACGGGAAACTGCCAAACCTGCTTGTATCAACAAAATTTCTGCAGACTAAAGACTTGAGAAGTATTTTGTACATAGCCAGCGTCATAAACTATTCGGCCACACTATTCCTCAACAATCCATTTACCCTTATTTTCTTTTAGGTTTGGAAATAAAACTCTCACGCTTTTTGCAGCTTTGTTATTTAAGTTAGTCTTAAAACATATTTGAATTTGGACTCGGACACATTTCACACCATTGAGTTGACACCAACGGTCTTAGTCACTCTTAATCTCTTCATGGCTCTTCTCCCCTCCGGCGTTTTCTCGGTCTACTTTCTTTAGTACGTGTGCACGTGCCATTACATACATGCACGCTAAGTGCCTTGGAGTGTGCATGTGTGAATCGAGTGCCTTAGAGTGTTTTGTGTGCACATGGAGGAGTGGATAATTTGTTCCACATAAGAGCGATATTATAATGCCAGCACTCGTTTTAGGGGGAACAAGATTTCTGGTCTGACAGTGGCAGCTGCCTCCAGCTGAGCTCTCAATCCATTTGTTGTTTAACTCTCACTCTCTCTCGCCTCTCCTCTGTTTTTGTCCTGTTTCCCCCTCTATGTGTTCCTGTCCTCTTCTGTTGTGCGTCTCAGCCTCTCTCTGTGCTCTGCTTTGACAGTTAACAGAGGTCACTGTTTACTCTCATTTATCAGTCAATCACCGCCCGCTGCAGGGTTCCAAACACAGCTATTTTTCCATCATCTGTCCGTCTTTTTTCATCACTGCTTCCAAAAGGATGATGAACACAGTGAAAAATAATTATAAGGTGTTAATTTGTTAAACTATGTGTGACAAATACTCTTTTTAATATTATTCCCCGCCTAAATCTTAGAACTTTCCTCCTTAATCTTCTCGGAATACAGAAATGCTGTCAGGGTTTTATTATTTTTGTCAGCGTGACAAGTTATTAAAAATTGTGCTGGGAATAAATGTGGTCTGTGAAATAATATCACTTTGTCCGTTTGGATAAGTTGTAAGATCATGTTGAGTTATGGGATTTTATTGTTTTGCCATTGTGATCACTAGACGCTCTGCAGGAGCATTAGTCCTGAATTAATGTGATTTTTTTTAATAGACGTGGATTCCAAATGTTTTTTTCCAAATCTATGTCTTGATCTTTGCTCTCCATTAGCATAATAAAAAGCCCAAGATCAAATTTGGATTCACTTAAGCCAGTCCAATTCAAATAACACCCCCACCTTCCCCTTCTATCTCCCTCTTAGACCCATCTGAAGTCCGTGATTAGCATTTTTATGAATAAATAACAGTTTGATCTGTGCTATTTTTTATTTTTTTTAAGAGCTTGCATTTAGAATAGTTTTTGAGCCAAATGCATGTAGAATTTCCATACCCAAGTTTCTAACAAGGCCTAGATGTTCGCCTGTGCTGTGTGGCCCATTAGGTGTTGTTTGGGCACACTCTGGGAGAATGATTAATTCATCAGTGTGCCGTCTTTAAATATGAAGATGCTTGCTTCTGTCCCGACAACAGAACTCACAGTAGGAGGCCTTTCTTTTTGGACTGAAAAAGATTAATGCGCAGGCTTCCTGCTAACTATAAATATTAGCGGTTACTAATTATGCTGTGAAGTTAAACTATAGGCAAGATTTTAATGAGAAACATCCGCAGTGACTGGAAGAATACAGGAAAAACCAACAGATACCACGCACAGCGCGGAGACAGTAATGACTGGCGATATGATCCGAAAAAACACACATGGAGAACAAGTACAAAAGTGCGCGCTGTTCGCCGTGTTCATTTAACACGGCAGCAGGCCCATATGCTGTGAACATCTTGAGGGGCAGAGGGTTGACTTGCCTTACGTAACTGTTAAAGTTAGCACCATCTCAACAGGAAGAAGAGAAGAAACCCTAATCTAAGGCTTTACACACTACTTTCCAATTATTGTTTTTCAGATAGATTTGATTTTTGTTGATGGAAGCGATACGAGACAGAATGTGACATCTGGATATCAAAACGACTTCCCTATAACGTCCTCCCGCTGCTTGATGTGCAAATTCAATTATAACTGAAGTACAGCTTTTCTCATTTTGTTGGGTCGACCACTCTGGGAATATGTCAAGGGCCCCTGAAGGCACCCTGGGGGACACCACTTTAAAAGCAACCCCTCTCGTACGATGCCTAAACCTGTTCCCGGCTGACCGCGGTGAGTCCTCATTATCCTGCTCATGATGTTATCATAAAACAGAGAAATATTTTTATGTGCATATACGAGGCCTGCAGGAATATCATAATCTAATCATGACTCCAATAAGCCTATGTCTCATTCTAACTAGATCATGTCCTCTGTATACTTCAACTGCTCTTCTCATGCTGCACACACATAACACACACACACCAGCCAGGTCCCTTTTGTTGGCTCAGAGCCGAACAACATTGACCCTCTATCCCATCTCTGCTCGCCACCACCTGACATCCTAGCAACGCCTCCTCTTCACACTACCCTATCCCCACCTCTACTCCCACCGTTTCTTCCTCTCATCCCACTGATGTTGCCATAAAAAAAAGGCAACATTTTATGTGGCCCCCAACCCACTCACCACCAGCACTACATCACCTCTCCAGGGGCATCTGCGGGAGTATCATTATCTAATCATAGCTCTAATAAGTCCAAACAAGATCCTGGGTGCTTCCATGTACCCTGCAGGCTCAGAGAGGCCAGTACCCTCCACACCATTTATAGACCCCCTCCATCCCTGCTTCCCACCAACACACAAACACACTCCGGTACCCACAGGCCACTTCTCTCTCTTTTCCTCTACACGCCCCACATACATCAGTATGTCTTTAGCACTGGCTGGGCTGTACAGGCAGAGAGAGAGAAGAGACAGAGTATTAGTATTCAGAGCACAGTGAGGGAAAAAAGGAGAGGGAGCGAGCAAGCAGTAGAGAGAAAGAGAGAGAGAGTGAGAGGGAGGGGATAGTGAAATAGAGGAGGAAAAAACACAAGGAGGGGGGGAAATATAAGAGAAGAACACGGGAAACGGGAGGGAAAAGAGGGGAGGGGAGATATATCATATTGTTCATTTCTCTCTCTTAGTCTGCCATCCCGGTTGCGCGGCTTACTGCTCGGTGCCGTCTTGGAGAGGAAAAGAGAGTGAGAGAGAGAGCGAGAGAGAGGAGGGGTGGACAGAGCGAAAGAGGGCGGAATGCCCCTTTACAGGCGTCGCATCTGACTAGAACAGCGGAGAATCTCGTAATTCAGAAATTGGTCAGATAGGAGGACACTGCTTTCTGCAACACCAAGGTAGGGAGACCTTCCCTTTTGTTGCCCCCTTTCAGGCAGCATGCATACGGGTCTGTGATATCCGCGATGTGTGCTTTATTCGCGTCATATCTCCTTTGATCCTGCATCCCGCACCGTGCTCTGCTGAATGTGCCCTAAATCTCGCAGCATGTGTCTGTTTTCCATGAATATTTAATGTAGATTATTTGTGCATCACTCTGGCTCTTCTGTATTGCATTCTGCCATTGCATATTCGAGCCTATAGTGGGATGCATGCTGTGTGGAGGCAGTCTATAAGGTAACGGAGGCTGGTCTAGCCCATATGACAGATACCAGTGTCACAAGTGTATTAATGGCAGCTATCCTCACAGACGACAGTGATTAAACTTTCTTTTTTTTTTCCACGAGAACGACATGAGGTATGAGGCGAACAGACAGAGGGGTGCGCGCACGAGCACGCAGAAAACACACAAGACAGGTTGACGTGCGTAAGACGTGCGTAATCCCCCTTCCACCCACACCCACACCCCAACCAGCCTACCCCACTCCCCCTCACCATCAAAGACACAGTTTCCTTCCCACCACAGAGAACCATATTTATGCAAATGGTCAAAAAAAAGGAGAGAAAAAAAAAAACAGCCGCTGAGACACACTGACTCACCGACTCTTACATGGTGCTAGGTGAAAAATGAAGTGAAGGCGGCCCGTTGTCTGTGTGTGTGTGTGTGTGTGTGTGTGTGTGTGATTACACTCCCTGTCTGTAAATAGGTCCCGCTCTGCAGCTCCACGGGCTGTGCAAGAGACAGGAAGAACAGTACCAGTATCCCACGGTTCCTGGCTGGCCACTTGCTCTCTATTTCCTGTCCCATGTTATAGATAATTTAAACACTTGCAGCTCCAACAGGCCCAGAGTGGCAGAAAGCTGTGAAAACCTCAACAGCAACCCTCATATGTGTGAATGGAGGATAGAAATAAGTGGGGATGAAAGGAGACACTGTCTTTTTGAAAGCGAATGGGTGTTTGGTTGAATGTTTATAGAGATATATGGTCTTTAGCTGATATTAACACTCACCCGCCTCATGTTATTTATTTGCTGAGAGGGTGTCCAGGAGCTATTATAGGACTGGCTAAATTGGAACAACCTCGAGGCTGAGGCTGAGCAAAGCTATTACCTCTAGTCAATAGACATTAATATCCCCATGCTCAATCTCAGCCTCATGCAGCGCCAAGTCTGTCCCCGTGAAACCGCTCCACTGGAGTAACCAAAAAGATGTGTTGTAGTAGCCCTATCTGTTTACCCTTGTGCATCAATCCGTCACAGCCGAGTGAGCAAAGAGGAGCGATGATAGCATTGTCTCAGGCAGACATCGCTGTGGCCTCAAAAGGAAGTGATGCAAAACAGAAAGGAGGATATGCCGGCACTGGTGGAGAGAGGTCACGACCTCAGTGCATCAGGCATACTCCTGACGAATAGGGAATGATCTGAGGATACAAGAGTACATCGATTTGAGGTGGTATAAAACACGATACAGCCCAGCAGGGTAGAGCGTAGCCGATAGCATCAAAGTCCAGAATAGAGAGGATAGGGTCACGGGGCCAAGATGCCAGTCTACAGAGTACGGCTGACTTGAGATGAGAGAAAAAAAGTTAATGTGAAAACTGCCAAAACACCAGAAGCGTGAAATTCACTTAAACACTTAACCGAATTAGCAGACTTTCAAAAAACAAAAACATAAACAAAAGCTTTCAGGCAAAAACGAGAGGTTCAATTAGAGATGACTTCCAGGTACAGATGAAAACAAAAGAAGGCGCGTGGCAGCAGATAGAAAGACTTGAAAGCACGTTCAATGAGATCCGCCTGAAACATCCTATTAGGTATAACCAATGGATTAGTCTCCTTTGTCTACAGAAGCATTATGTTCTGACATAAAAAGCCTCTGACTGGTCTCAGTTTTGCAATTATGAAGGTGTTCAGTTTTACCTCCATGGAAATAGTTTGACATTTTAGCAATAAACAGTAATTCCGTTTAGACCAACCTTTAAAGAGAGAGGGGCTGAAAAGGAGGAAAAGAGGGTTTTATGATCTTACACCGCCTCAGACTGTGGGGTGAACTGAGAAATTAAATTCCAGAAAAAAACCCCAAAAAAACTCATGGTAGTACTACAGCTGCTGTTTCCACTGCTGATGATATCGATCCAGGTGCCTTTGAATTGGAAAAACGAAAATTGTAGACGACCCACACGTGATGTATTTCATTCAGCACACAGACAAATATATTATTATGTTAAATGACCATATCGGGTTGCAAAAGATCACAGGTTTGTGGTAAGCATCTGAATGTCTTCTGCTTCTTATTCAGCAGACAGCAGCGACTCAAATGTCTTATCGCTGTAATTCCCGAACCCGGCTGAGGTGTGTGATTCTTCCTTCAGAGGCAGATTCCACATACAGATTTCAGCTTTCACTCCCGCTCTCCAACATGATCCTTGTTACTGAAAAACCTGCCCCCTGGGTTTTTATCAAATTCACATTCTCCACGCTCAAGGATTTCTGTTTGTTTGTAGCAGCTGTCGGTGGAATTTCTGAGCGAGGGAGAAAAACCACTGTAGTTCTTGTGTGAGGGAGGTGCTGCGCTAAAAAATAAGAAATCCAATACCCCCTCCCCAAAAAAAGAAAAAGAAAAAAATATAGAGAGAGTGCATTCGATATTAGATAAATATTTATTACACTATGCCCCAGCCATATGAAATGGGAGTAGTGCTGGGTTGGTTTGTTTTTTTGGTGTTTTTACTCAGACTTTGGATGTGGTTTCTCTTTAGAGTTTGGATATTTTATGCACCTGAGAGGAGCCCCCAAACCTGTCCTTGCTGTGCAAATGTAAGAATGATCCCTTCATTAAAAGGGGGTGCAAATATAAATGCCTCATCTGCTTTATCACCTGTAAGTCGGAATGAGGATGTAAAGGCTGCAATGAGCCTTTAAAAATGAGTTATTTAGCTGATGCTCTTATCCTAAGTGATTAACGGGAGGGGGCAGCCGGGGGTTTGGCATCTTGTGAAGGACACATGTGTAGCTTTGAACTTGCAGTCTCTTTCTTACTGATACAGCCCTGAATTTGGGCTTACATCCATTAAAGCTACTAACGGGTGTCTGGTGCGACTGGCCCTTTTTTTCCTGGACAGATTTAGCTCATGATCTGATTGGCTTGCTTCATCTCATCCAGCTCCCATCTCCTTCCCGTTAACGTGATTGGGCAAGACTGATTGTTTTTTTTTCCTCCGTGGAGTGATTACACTGTGACCTTGCGCTGCGTCCTGTCTCCTCCGCCCAGTCGGACAGTGACCTTACTGGTCGACTGGTCTGTGTTGTGGCGTATTCGTTCCCTGTGCGTATTGATCCCAGGCAGAACAGCAGTCAATGGAGCGTCTGTGGGAGGCTTAGTGTTGCTCTGTACAGTAAAGTAGGAAGGCGCATTTCTGGGCATGCTGCTACCTCAGTTGAATGCTCCATCACCATGTTTCTAAAGGCATATTCATCGGCGAATAACCATCATCTGTAAATATTTTGCTTGTAGTAAATTGCATCGCCCAAAACCTTGATTACCATTGTTGCTGTGTCACTCTCGCCGCCAGCTTCCTGTTTTTTTTCCCTGCCCTTCTCTGCTCCAATTTTTTCCCCTCCCTCTTTATCTGTCTCGCCTCCAATTTAATGTCAGCATCTCTCTTATCCCTCTCTCGCCGTCTCCCTGTTCCACTGTCTCTTACTATACAATCGTTCTTTCTGTCTGTCTCCTCCATTTCTTTCTTGCCTCTCCCTCTTGATGCTTTCACTGGCATTTGAGGCGTACAGTTTTGTGCCAGACAGCCATTTCTCAGATTGAGATATCCCAGGTTTTAAGTCACTCAGACAGATTTGCTATCTTAATGGGCGAGAGTAAGGGTGGGGTTGTTGGAGGAGGGCTTGTGTTGCTTTTTGATTTGCCAATTTTGGATTAATTTCTGTAATAGGTTGCGGTGAGATGGAAAGATAAATGGGCTCTGCATTAACTGAGTTTCCTGCACTGATAAAACAATCTTGCTTGCATTATCAGCATAAATCTAACGAAACAGTGCGTGCACAATCAGCTTTCTTGCATGGAAGAAAACATATTTGCAAGTAAAATCTAATTTTCATATTCATCTGGTCATTTTTTAAAAGCGATATCTACTTAACTTGAAAAGTTTCAATTCTCTATTTTTAATTAAAACAAGTGAAATTCGATGCTGGTAGTAACACGGTTTTTGGCAGTAACATGCATCTAATTACCGTTTCAAATTAACGAAGATAATTAGTGAAATTCAAATGGGATAACTTCTCATTACCTTTTGACTTTTGAAGAGCGGTGAGTCACTGTTGACAGAGATCATGGCATGGCATTACTTCCCAGTTCTTTTAATGATAATAATGGATTTATATAGCGCTTTTCAAGGCACCCAAAGCGCTTTACAATGCCATTCACTCTCGCATTCACACACTGGTGGAGGCAAGCTACGGTTGTAGCCCTGGGGCAGACTGACAGAAGCGAGGCTGCCTCTGGCCAACACCAGTAGGTAAAGTGTCTTGCCCAAGGACACAACGACCAGGACAGAGAGCCCGGGGATCGAACCGGCGACCTTCCAGTTACAGATGCGCTTCTGAGCTTCTGAGCCACGGTCGCTAGATAAGAGTACCATCCCTTTGATCACACGAGTCCATGCTGACACTGGGATTGAGATCAATCCAGCAACCCACTGCACTCAAGGTGTCACAGCCTCTCTAATCTAACATGAAAGTAAATATAACTCAACCTGGGCAAGTGAACTGTAAATATCCATATCCATCCACAATCTTTGCCACTGCAAATTCCCAAAAGCCCCCCAGAGAGGCTACAATATTAATAGGAAACTGCAGACTATAGAAAAAAGCAGGTGTTGGTATATCCAGATGTCTACTGAGCTTAGTATAAAGTCCTTCTAGAAGCACATCTTGCCACTCGGCAGCCATTCTGGCAATGCCTCGATATTAATGTGGATGGTTATGGGGATATCAGCGAGGCCTGGGGAACATTTAACCAGACAACCCGACATCACACCAAAACCTGTAATAGACACCCCAGTCCGCTGTGTCTATTTCATGCTTTCCCTCTCCAAAACATGAAGTGGACATGTATACAAAAGTTTCATTACCAGCACGAGGACATAGCGAAATATCTCCCTTTGCTGTTACTGCAACTTCCTGCAACTTCTGCATGCGAATCTTTTTCACGCTTTTTAGAATCAAAGCGTGAAATAGACATGCTGGACCGGCGTATCTATTACAGGTTTTGCTGTAATAAGGCTTTTCTCATCTGGGTAAACGCAGTGAGCTCCAGGGAGAGCATCCAATACACTAAGCTATGTTTGTTCAACTCGTACTTCAAGTCAGTGCTTCAAAGTCACAGCAGAGACACGGAGAACTATAAAAACTGCCATGGTCAAAGTCCAAAGTTTCTGAGCCAGTCCCTGCAACAAATCCTCTCCGTCTGATGGCAAAAAAAGGCAGATAGAGCAACGCCCCAAGGAAGACGAGATCCTTAAAAAGTCAGCAACCAACATCAATAATGGACCTGGAACACACACCTGGTGTCGGGACCTAATCGCAGACATCAAAGTGTCTAAGAGGGGAATGGGTAGTAAAAGCAGTTCAGGATGAGGGCCTAACTAACTTTAACTGGAATATACAAATTACATGCAAAGGCTCAAAGGTCTCATTTATTAAGGGCTCAATCCAGAATACCAACATGAACAGCATCAGTGTTCATTCTTTGGGTACGCTAAATAAATTCTAATGCTAATTCACATTTTGGATGTAGTTAGCAAAAAAACCCCCAAAAATTACACTTTCCTACACATTTACTAATTAACCACATCCTGATATAATGATTAGATAATCCGATAAAACAAATCTGAGATAGTCGTGAACCTCTACAGTGCAAATATGTCACAACAATGACACAACTGGTTCATTTTTTTCCCCAGTTTAGCTGTCGACCGGCTCTGAGGGGGCAGCAGCGTCTTTTCCTTTACTGATTTCTACTTTAGATTTCTGCTTGGGATTCTTTGAGTGCTGTGATTTCCTTTTATAATGCATAAAAGTGTAGCTAACGTGCATCATTTTTCCTGCTACAATCTGCCTGACACAGCTTCTCAAAAAGCTACAATACCTTTTTGCTGTTGAAAGAAAAATTCCAGATGGGGTAAAATATCTGCATCTCCTCCAGCTTTGTGATTGTACTGAACAGAGAAACTTGAACAGCATTGTGTTTGCTGCCTGAAAAGCCTGCACTTGAACAGATTAGCTGGGCTTAAATAAATTTATCACTTCGACAGGGCACCTGTTTGCTAATTTTGAACTCCACAACTGTATTTTTGGCTGTACTAGAGTAGCTTTGCATGACTCACTCCTCAAGCTCCTCCCCCATAAAGGCAACTTTCTTATAAGCCAGCTTACTCCTGAGTGGCTGCCTCTCGCAAACAGAAGATTTGAAAAGCGGGTGATTTGGGGGCTTCTCTCCCCATAGCAAAGGCCATGTGCCTACGATGACCATATTGAAAATATCCACTCTCATTTCGTTTATACACAGAAGAGGCAAAGAAGAGAGCGCTGGCAGGGTGGAGTGGGTGAAGACGAGTATCAGGGGGGTGATTTGTGACAGAAGTATAGCAGCAAGAGTGAAAGGGAAGGTTTACAAGATGTTAGTGAGACAAAAAGACAGAAGGCAGAGATGTAGGTTGCAGAGTTGAAGATGCTAAGATTTCACTGAAAGTGACCAGAAAGGACGGGATTAGAAATGACTATGTCAGAGGGAAAGATTATGTCGAGCGCTTTGGAGACAAAGTTAGAGAGGCAAGGCTGAGATGGTTTGGACATGTGCACAGAAGAGATAGTGGACAAAGGATGCTGAATAGAGAGATGCCAGGCAGGCGAAAAAGAGGAAGAGGCTTGTGGATGTGACGAAGAAGGAAATGCAGAGGGTTGATGTGACAAAGGAGGATGGCGGGATTAGGGTGAGATGGAAGCAGATGATTCATTGTGGTGACGCTTAAAAACAGAAGAAGAAGAGAAGTGTCAGAAACTGAGCGCCTCAAGTAATAGTGAAGAAAAACACAACCGTTTTTCTTTAAGAGGAAAAAATTAACAAATTAAGATGTTGGGGTTTAGTCAAGATCAGTGTTGGTCAAGTTACTTGAAAAAAGTAATCAGTAACTAATTACTTCCCCCAAAAAGTAATCCCATTACTTTACTGATTACTTATTTTCAAAAGTAATTAATTACTTAGTTACTTTTTAAAAACACTGAATAGGTGATAAAGTGATAGATCTTTCAGCCCAATTCTACTTTTTCTGCATAATCCATCATACAAAATGTAATCAAATG